CTGTTTAAAAGAGGACGTGTTAAAACTCTTGTTTAATCAAGGTTAAACATGAAACATTAAAGTTCATTACAAGCATCCCTTGAGCGGTGAAAATGAGTTTGACACCCCTGATTTATATGAACTCACTAGAAATAAATAGGTTGCATCTACAAAAAAAAAAAAAAAACTGGACCACTACAGATTCTAACAAACTTACGCAGGAGGAGTAAAAAGGGCAAAAGGAGCAACAGGAGCTTCCAGAGTCTGGGAATGCATCTAAAACACAGAAACACAAACTGATCAGATTATATACAACTGACAAAAGATTTTAAATAATGATTTAAAAAGACCTTAAAAATAGGTAATTTAATTCATTTGCTGATGCTTTAACTAAAATTAATGGTGGTCAGTTGTGAACTTTACCTTAATTATGTACAGTAACTACATTTTTTTGTGACTGGACTAAATTTGAACCCATAAAACTGAACACAAAATTTTAGCATAGACACAGATGAGCTGTTACTGAACAACAACAACATTCTTTTATTTCTGTACATCTAGTTTATCTTCAGTGTTTTGGCCTCCTAATTTAAAATAGGTAGTTTCATCCCTCTGTGTGTTGCAGTGTTCAGGACAAAAAAAACAAAACAAGGGGTCTTACTGAGTTAGGAAGAAGACATTAAGGAGAGACATAAGGGACACGAGCTGGTACCATCCTCTTGCAAGAAACCACAGCAGTCCTTTACAAGCTTTAACTGGACAAAATGAAACAAACAACACAAAAACAAAATAAGAAAAACAATTAACATTATTTGCAAGATGAGAAAAAAAAACCACTCAACACTTACCTGGAGATGCCAGGAGCATCCAGAGGAACAAGACAGACCTCTGTGCTATCGCTGCAACTCCTGAAACCAACGCTTTACCTGCCGTCAGCACACAGCGACCCGGCAGCAAGAGGCACGAACCTGGAGACAAAGGATTAAACGATAAAATATAGAGAACTAACAGACACATCAAAGTGTCTTCTTAAAACATGTGATCAGCATTTAAAAGTGTAAACCTGCGAAAACCAAGATGCTCCATAATGTCTCCATCAGACGCTTCGACCTGGAGGACTGTGTGAGGAGGACGGCGCGTGACTCAGAGTACTGCTTCCCTTTYCAGTCGTCACCTGTGTGTGCCAAAATAATGGACATCAGGAAGAAGAAAAGAAAAAACACTGAGCAAATGTAGTCATTTAGAATGAAATACAGTAAAATACATTAATGTTACTTTTGAAAATTATTAAAATTTAAATTTAAATGAGGAAACATTATTAAAATGAAATTCCCAGAAGCACATTCTCATACTTTAAAGTATCATCATTTCAACGTTATAATAATAATAAAAAAACGTAACCAATAAAACCTCAAGGTGATTGATTTATTCTCTAACTGAAAAAGGATTTATCACAAAATTTTGTTTCCTGTTTTGTTTTTGGTACTTGCAAAATAAAACAGCCTTTTAAATGCTATGTGGTGAAACTGTGGTCTACACCCCTGCAGGAGGGTTTCCTGCACGCTGGACTAAAATCATCCTCTGCAGCTTGCAACGGTCAACAGACTGCTGACTAGTTCAAGCAGTTCACACAACCTCTGCCCACACATCGTGACTCAGGGTGTGCATATCATTGACTCTTGTCAATCACAGCAGCGCATGATGCTAATTTATCACAATTCAAAAAGAACTTTGTGTGGGTACTCACACAGYGAACCATTGAGACTGAGGTGTGACGCGTCTTCTGTCACCAGATCCTTCACGTTCATGCTTCCACAGAAACTGGAGTGAGCTGCAACACATAAACAAAAMATTTATTTGCATAACAAAATGTGTTGGCAGAGCTGTGATAAAGATCAAGGCGGAGGACAAAGATGGGAAAATGCACGCGACTCGATGAGCGAGCACCTGCAAGAACCAGGAGTAGAAAACACGTAGAGAAAACTGGGCTTCAGAACAAATAAAGCCTTGCAGCTGTGAAAAGAAATCAGAAGTATACTGGAATAAAAGAATTATATGTCAAATCAAACCAACTTCTTTACTTACTGAATGTTTAATAAATAAGAGGTGGGAGTGAAGAAGTCTGGGTCTGGAGGGCTCATATGTTTTATGCTGTGACAACATTATTTAACAGAAGCAATGAAAAAACTGGTTTGGGTGCTTATTTTGCTTCTAGTGTATTCAGAAATAGGAGAAGGCTGAAAGGGAAAGGTGGTGAATTAAAAGAGAAATAGTAAAAGGCACTCCCACTCTGTGAGAAACTGAGTCTTATCTGATTAAAAATGACTCTCATGAAGAAGAAGAGCAGCAGCTGTCAGGTGCTGTGAGCTTTTCCCCCCTGTAACGGCAGCAGGTACCTTGTCCTTCATAGCCAAAAGCCTTGGAGCCCGTCGTCCTGTGGGAGGCAGTCTGCTTAAACAGCCAAACTTTGGACATACTCGAGGACGCCGCTTGTCTCACAGAGTCCCAAGACGATGCTAAGGTACCTGCTGACACACCTGTCCATCAAAGCACCGTTAGTCAAAACTAAAACTCGATTCACACCTAGAGACAAATCGCTGAAAATAAACATGGGAAGTGACGTTACAGACYTTTCCTAAAAAACCTGAGAGAAGAAACGGGGGAAAGCAACGAGTCATCAAGTATCAGAAAAACAAAATTTACGACTAAATTGAAGTCAAATAAAATGCTAGATGATGAGAATGCAGCTCTGGCAGAAATCAGGACTGAGATGAGGTTTTAGATATAAGCAGTTAAAGTCTTTATGAAAGCAATGAGGGAGTGATGAGCAAAGAAAGTCTTTATGTACCTTTTGCTGATGAGCTCTTGACCCAGGAACTCAACTGGATCACACTACTGAAGAAAAGGGAGACTAAGGACACAAAGGGTGCCAGGGCTTGTTTACTGTAGCGCACACACGAATTACACACTGACATCAGGACACCTGGTGGGAAACACAACCAGTGATTACAGTCTTACCATAACAAATGTGTGATGACATGTTTTCAATCTTATGAATAAAAAATGTCTGAATTTCAAACAGAGGCGAGAACTTCTCACCGGTTTTGTTCTTCCGACTCCTGTCTCTGGTATAAACACTGGAGATGGGTGACAACGAAGCAGAAGGGACATCGGCAGAGAGCTCCGCTGCTTGTGATGACGACGACCGTGTGATGTAGGAGTCAGATTTGTGAGAATGTAACGAACAGTCTCTGCAGATGTAACCATTAGCGAGCAACGCGTGGGATTTTGACGTGCTGGCGTCACCGTTTACACCTGATGAACTGTGGCTGGAAATCTGCCCTGAGAGATGGCAGAAGCACACGATGACGTCATTTACTCAGAAACATCAGGGGAAAAAAACAGGGAAATTATTTGATAGGAACATTGGTAATACACTACTTGATTAACACACAACTGCAGTAAATACAGGAATATTTGTTGCAGTTAAACCCAACTTATTTAATGTATACATATATTGTTTAGTTTTTGTGACAGCATCAACTGACCCCAATGTCCATCCACAATAGTATCAGTAATGGTGGTGGTGYTGACTTTGCGATGTCTCAGGTGGGACTGGTCATAAGCTGAAGCAGCCTGAGAGACCTCCGACGTTCTGTTGCTCTCCTGAATAATTCTGCTGTTGTCAATCGGGGTACTAGCAGCAGAGAAGGACAGGGTTTGTCTCGGGGTGGCGATTTGGCTGAGGGATAAAGACAGGGAGCTGGAGGTGGCCTGCTGCCTCCTGCTTCGAGATGTCCTGGGAAAACACAGATAGGACAGGTGAGCTTTGGGAGCTTTAGAAGAAGAGATATGTTGTCTCTTTTAAACAAAAGCCATTTTTGGATTGTTGTGTGGCGCAGCCCGCCTTCACATGGTTGTACTGCGATAAAACTGGAAAACACACTTTATATTTAGTACTACAGTGCTTCTTATTACATTGCTGAACACCATATGGTTAACACAAATGGCTTGAATTGGTACCTTTAATATTGTACTCACAAGGAAGACAGGTTATTGTAGCAAGCGTGTGTGAAGCCAGCTTAGTGCATCATCAAGACTGTTTTTTTTTTGGCCATGATAGAGGGTAATTTGCCATGTACTGTATGTATGTATCTAATTTAAGCTAATTTAATCAACTGTGTTCCTCTTAGCTCTTGAATGTGTTCCTTCTTTACTTAACTCAGAAACCTTCAAATTCTTAAAGGACACCAATTATGGGTCCTAGAAATTTTTATGGTATGTCTGTGGGCTATCCAGACCATATTCATTCAATTTAATGTACAAAATAATTCTCAAATAATAAAATTTCCCATTTTCTAGTT